GAAGGCCTGCGAGGCGGTCCAGTCAGGCCGAAGGCCCGGATAGCGGTCCAGATAGACTATAGGCCCGGTGCGGCGGTTCAAATAGGCTGAAGGCTCATGTATGCATGATGTTGTTTATTAGGGGTGTGCAAAAAAACCGCAAAACCGAAAAACCGAGCAGAACCGGCCGATCCGAAACCGAAACTGGAAAAAACCGGATATCAACGGGTCGGTTTCAGTTTGGATAATTAGGTATCCGCGGATACCCGAACCGAACCGCTTGATATATATATATATATATATATATATATATATATATATATATATATATATATATATATATTATTCATTTCCATTAAACAGTTAGCTATATCCCAAACAAAAATCACGATTGGCAATTCCAGTTTTACACTTCTACATTATGTTTTCTTGTATTTTTAGTTTTATATCTATTATACCAATTATAATGTATGTTATTTGAACTTCATTATGTTTTTATAACTTTTGAACTTACTAATTTTTAGAAAGAAATCGTTGGAATGAAGTTTGTAATTTCATTGTATTTGATTTTTTATATTTAGCGGGTACCCGTGAACCGAACCGTGGTTACCCGCCTTTATACGGTTCGGTTCGGTTCGGTTTTTTTGCTAATTCGGTTCGGTTTCGGTTAGTGCACATGAGGTACCCGCCCCATGGTGATGGTTCAAAATTTTATTACTATCCGAACCGAACCGCCCCGTTAACACCCCTATTGTTTATTATGTTGTGTGGTAGTACTTTGGGGGAACTCACTAAGCTTTGGCTTACAGTTTTAGTTGTTGTTTCAGATACTTCAAAGGATCGGGGTAAAGCAAAGGCGTGATCGTGCACATTCCTTCAGATTTTATGTTTTTAGATTCTTGGGATACTCTGATTATAGATTAGTACTTTTGAAACAATGTTTTTGTAAACAATGATCATATTGGGTTGTTTTGAAAATGAAAAATTTTTATTCAGATTTTTGGGACGTTACAAGCTTGTTAGTAATTCCATGTACCAACTTAGACATAGTGAATATGACATCATTTCATGACTAATACATCATAACTACATAGTAAACATAGAACTATAATCCTTTGTCTTTACTGAATTCATTTACAAGTTTTGCATGCGTTAAAATTGTTTTAATTGAACTAACACCCCTACCCTCCCCCCTTTCCATTTTGTCATAAATTGTCTTGTGCAAAAAGACAATCATTTTACAATTAGTCATTTGTCTCTGTGGATCGATCCTACTTCCTCTGTGTTACATTTTAATTACAATCTTCTAGTGATTTTTGGAATCATATTTTATACCCCTTCATTTGTTGAGTTTGAGACCCTAACAATAATCATATGAGATTGAAACCTAAAATTAGTAGCACAACAATAGCTTTAAATCATAATAGAAAAAACTCAATGGTAAACTGACAAGTTCAAATTCCATCTATCATTTTCAGTAGTTCTAAATCTTGTATTATTATTATTATTATTATTATTATTATTATTATTATTTGAAAGGTTAACACATACTCTCTCAATCTTACTCGTAAACTATCTTTTTTGTCTATAGCGAGACTTAGGGGTCGTTTGATAGTTGCCGATTGGGTTAGAACTGACTGAGTTAGAAGCTGACTTGGTTAGAAATGTTGAATGAGTCCACATCTGACTGAGTTTATGTTGTTTGATTAGTTATCTGATTGATTGTGCTGAATGATAAAAATGACCATATTATCATTGTGTTGTCCCTTGTGCTGGATAAAATAATTATAAAAATACATATTATCACATAAAATCCAAATTAAACATACATCATTTAAAATCCAAATACAAAGTGTAATACAAAATCTAAATACAAATTGTCATACATAATAAAAAAAGTACATCATTTAAAGTGAACAATTTGAAAATAACTAATTAGCAATATAGTCACGCAAAGTAGCCTGAGCCGCCTTCATAATTTAGAACTCTTTGATGAGATCCAAAAAGTAGAATGGATTGGTGTTGTTTCAGTAGGGATTCTTCTTCATTCCAGACATTCTAACGAAGATCCTTTTGAGGTACGAAAGAATTTAAACGAACCAGACAACAAGAAATCACCATTGCCAATTCAAGGTCCTGCTTGCAACTCATCTGATCATTCAATCGGGTGGCACACGTTTAATTTTTCTGCATATAAACAAAAGAGTGCAAATTACATTGGTGATATGGCAATCGTGTTGCCACAGAAGCTGGAATGGTCTGGATTTGTAATGAACTCAAGGTTAGTCTGGGAAGAATCTGAGTTCAAACCTGAGTGGATCAAAATCAAAAACAAATCTCAAATCTCAACAACAGAATCACAAAAACAAAAATCTTGAATTGTAACTTGAGGAAGAACTAAGAAGACTAACCCAGAAGGAAATTTGCTATCTGCACGAGCCTCTGCACGAAGCCACCACATCATCACTTTCTTCCCGCAATTCCCTAATGGTTCCACCATTGATGAGTCTTTAAGCAAAGAAAGAGGATTTTCAATTTCATCAACTTCGTTCAAATCCTTGATCCACTCAGGTTTGAACTCAGATTCTTCCCGCAATTCCCTACTGAAACAACACCAATCCATTCTACCTTTTGGATCTCATCGAAGAGTTTTAAACTATGCATGTTGTTGTTAAAAGATGTTACATGTTGATGGAAGGAATAAAGGAAGAACATTACCTATTGATGGACGATTTCTCCGGCTGTTGCTGTTGATCACGCTCCTGGTGTTGCTTTTGATCACGAATGGAGCTGCTGGTGCTTCTACGAGGGGAGGTTATCGGGTGGAGGGGACGAAATCAGAAGATTGTCTCAACAAAACAGGGCAAACGTGATTTTTGTTTTTTTTTCTCGGTCCATCAAATAGAAAGCAATGAACGAGTTTGGTGTTTTCATTGGACCGAGTCCCTACATCTCTAATCCTTATCAAACATGCTAATTGGTTTTTATGGACCCAATCCCTCTTTGAACCTAGTTAGACACCATATCAAACGACCCTTAAACCATCTACTCCTTAGAAAATATGTGCATTTTCAAATACTTTCATACCGTTAAGCTAAAGATTGGTATAGTAGTTCTAAAGGTTATATGTTTTGGTTTCGTATATATTGTTTTATTAGATTTGAATAACGTTTAATACGAAGGTGCTTATAGAGGTATATTTACTTTACTTTTCACATTGTGACGTTGTGGAGTTGTTTAAGAATAAATAAATAATAAAATAATAATAATAATAAAGAAGAAAGCCAAAGCCTGGTGCCCTGGTCTTCGTTTTTCAAACTCCCAGGCCCAAAACAACCTGACCGCTACTATCGAAATCTTACAAAGAGAGTACTGTTTGTACTAATTATCTATTTAATATTTTTTCATTTTATCTTTTAATTATAATTTAAATTGAGTTTTTATTATTTTTACCATCAAACATTCTAACTTGTTAAATATTAAAAGTAGAACGAGTATTTTTATAGTTTCACTATTATAACAAAAAATTTGAACGGTCAAAGATTTTATAGGAACTCAGAAAAAAAATACAATCAACAACGAGTTGAACCAAATGGCTTCTACTCTATTTGTATCGGATATTTTCCCTTCTCGAGGCCGAGGGTTAAAGTCACGTCTGAGACTTAGGTGAAATTAAGAGTCGTTTAGAAGTATATTAGATTTGTCGTTCTAAAAAAAATACAGACAAAAAAAACACAAGATACATCAGGAGGAGATCTGAAAAACTAATGAAGCAACAACGAAGTTAAAATTTGTACAAAAATAACAACCAACTATAAGGCGAATGCCTAAAATAGCAATCAACTTTCAGCTTCGCTACATGAAACAAAAAAGCAACCAACTTTGAGAAATTAAAAATGCATGAAATTTCAAACAACTTCTGATCAATAACCACCGCATGAACCAAAAAGTAGCATATATGATGTGTGTTTATATAAATAACTTATAAATACATAGTTTATATAAGTAATACCAACATCAAAATGATGTGTGTTATAAACAACAAATTAGAGAATGATGGTTTATAAAATGTTTCTAATAGATGATAGATATTTGAGTCTTGAAAAATAAAAGCTTAAGCATTGAAAATGATTTTTAAAGATAGATTTAGTAGTAAACATGATGTAAAAAGTCAACCATTAGAATGCTTTAATAAACATGTATGAGATTTATAACGATGAAGTTCAGGAAGAAGTTATTTAATTAATCCAATTTGTATTATATTATAATGACAAAACTTCAAAAATGGTCCCTGTGGTTTTCAAAAATATCAAGTTTAGTCCCTAAGTTCAAAAAACCTCACAGATGGTCCCTGTGGTTTCAAAACTTTTAACAAATAGTCCTTTTCGTTAACTCCGTTAGCTTTTGGTCGTTAAGTGAAGGATATTTCTGTCATTTCACTGCCACAGGGACCATTTATGAAGATTTGTCTTATTAAAAAAAAAACTAATTATTTAATATTAAAGGGTCCCACCCTCTCTCTCTCTCTCTCTCTCTCTCAAAAACATCGAACCACCTTCTCCATTAGAATCGAAGCTGTTATCTGCTCCTTCTACCATCATCACCACTAGGTGACACCGGGCAAGGTAAGTGATTTCATGCCTCTACTCCGATCAAAACACACAGATCCACCGTCATCCCTTCCCTTCAGCAACCCCTTTATTTCGATTGTTCAACAGTAAAATAAGTATCTCCTACCTCCATTTTCGTTCCCTTCACCTTACTTCTACCCTGTCACCACCATCAATCATAGTCCATGGTTTCTTTCAAAGAAGAGAGCAAACTAGCGTAAGATGGTGAGTAGGATCAAATATCGTTTTTGTATTCATGTCTAGATCACGAGATAACCTTCGGGTTCTTGGAGGAACCATCGCAACCATTTTTGGGTTGCTGGACCGTGGAGTTCTACCGACGTTGTTGTCAATCTTTGCTAACAATTTCCTTCTATGACGCAAAGGATCAGTCTCCCCTCTGTCGATTTGCTATTGGCTTGGGTTGTCGGTGAAAACCTGAAGGTGTGTCCTCGGCGGAGATACATTTCGCTTCACGTGAATCCTCTTCATTGTACTGGTATTTGGTTGTTCGGCACCACCATTGTTGCTCTTGTTAGTTGCCGGAACTGAAACCATCTTCGCCTGCCTATTGCTACTGCCGACGTCGGTCGCCCTAGTGTTTAGACTACGAAAAGGTGAATCAGACCTCCTACTAGGGGATATACTTATTCTTCTTTCTTTACTGCAAGACCTGTGGCGTCGCATTCTAGAAGGAGACGAAACCCTAACCTCCTCCCTGTGCAGGTGGTGGTGGTTGTGCAGTGCCTCATCGTTTTCAGTCTTATCATCATCACCATCGTCATTCTTCAAACTGGTGTTCAAATCGGAATCGAAGCTCCTCTTGGAACGAGAGTATCTTCTTCTGCGATTAGGGTTTTGAGATCCAGAGGAATTACTCCGGCTCCTCCTGAACTCCGAGATTGAGCGTCGCCAGCGGTAGAACTAGGGTTTAACGCATTGGGGTCGTCTTCATCGTCGTGTCTTTTGAGTTCATGGCTGATTCGGTGTTTGATGACGAAAATTTCCTTCTTGAAAACCTGTTGATCATTCTTCGTGTTCTGTGGTTGTTGAGGGGTCGATTTGAGGTCAAATTGCGGGGAAGCAGGCTTAAGAGCGGTGGTTTTGGTGTTCTTGCTGAAACAAGCACCCATAGATGAGAGAGAGACCCTTTAATATTAAATAATTAGTTTTTTTTAATAAGACAAATATTCATAAATGGTCCCTATGGCAGTGAAATGACAGAAATACCCTTCACTTAACGGCCAAAAGCTAACGGAGTTAACGAAAAGGACTATTTGTTAAAAGTTTTGAAACCACAGGGACCATCTGTGAGTTTTTTGAACTTAGGGACTAAACTTGATATTTTTGAAAACCACAGGAACCATTTTTGAAGTTTTGTCTATTATAATTATATATATATATATATATATATATATATATATATATATATATATATATATATATATATATATATATATGATGCAACTTCTTTTATATTTCTGTAGTTCACATTCCATGTTTGATTGGTTAAAGTCTTTTCCATGATTCTTATCTAGAATATTATATTTATGTATCATTTGCCAAATGATTGAAGGATCTGAACATCAAAGGGCTTCTAGCTCAGTAGTACCAGGTGTTGCTCTTTCTTATGATGTTGATGGTTCAAATCCTGAGACATACGTGAAATTAGGAGTAGTTAAAAATAAATTAGATTTGTTGTTCCAAAAACTAAATAATTAAATAAAGGATCTGAACAAAAACGTTCAACCATGCATCATCTGGAAATTGGAATGCAATTATGCAAATGATCAATAATAATAATAATAATAATAATTATTATGTTGAGAAGGCACATGTCTTCAAAGAGACGCTTCTCATGGTATTTAATTAAATCAAAAAGCTACTTGATTGATAAATGTGTGAATATTATATGTTGAGTTGGTGATGGTATTGATAAATTAATTAAATGAGAACATTATCCATCAATGATCATCTCTAACTCCCACAACCACCGCCAGCAGCCAAAACTGCCATGTTTTCCGGCAATCAAGCCTGGTCATGTGGCCTCATCATCGCCATTAAAGTGGTTGACAAATTTATAACTTGAAAGATATTCAAAGTCATCAACAAGAAATCTAAGTTATGTTACAATTTGAATGTAAGAATAGTTTTCATAATGTCAAGATATATGACAATACTCGTTCTCGACTCTTTTTTTTTGAAATATGTAATTAATTTAACTATAAGAACATAAATATACAATTAGACACATCTTTATCAACAAGGTCAAATATTTTATCATATAAAAAAAAACTAGTATTTTAAATTTTATCAGTTTATTAACAAATCAATACAACCTAACATTTTATCATAATATATTATTGTTTCTTATCAATATTCTATTCTTAAGATTATAAAAAATATAAACAGTTTAATTTAAATATAAACACAATATAAATAAGTAAGTTTTCTCTTGCTGTATAATTTATTTTTTATCTTCCTTTGTGATATTTACTAAAGATAAGATAAACGGTTATTGTTTATTTCTTAAATCTTACTTAATTACGTGTGACCAGGGGCCGAGCTTCAACATATTATTCGGAGAACAGTGAGGGCCACCGTAAAAAATTTATATTTTTTGGTCTAATATGTATTAAATGAAAGTACGGGGGGCTATTTGTAACAAAAAAAATCAGGGGGGCCCACAGCCCCTCCTGGCCATAATAAAGCTCCGCCCATGCGTGTGACGACTTAAAGAATTATGTACTCCTCTTTCTTAAAACTAATAGACCCAAATTTATTAATTTATTTAGTTTCATATTTTTTTAGCATTATTTGAAGGGATATATACACTAAAGTCTTAATATTTTCATCGATTTGACAAAAAAATCTTTAACTTAATTTTTTTGACAGTAAAGTCCTAACTACCGGCAGTTTTTGACACTTTTACCATTTTTTCCGGTTAGCCGGTAATTAGGACTTTTTTGTCAAAATAATAAAGTTTAGGGCTTTCTTGTCAAATCCTGAATTAGGATTTTACTGTCAAAAAAATAAAGTTTAGGACTTTTTTGTTAAATCGAAGAAAAAATATTTGGTCTTTAGTGTATATATCCCTTTTTTGTTAGAAAATTTAATGGTATGATAGTCTTTAAGCATTATAGTTATTGAAATCTGCTCTAGTCAGCTAGATCATATTGAAATCCTTAACATTTGCTTCTTGTTAAATAGTTTTTTTAATCTCAATAAACCGATATTGAAAAAAATAGAGATAATTAAGAAAGAAAGAAAGACTCGGGGTTGTTTTGGCTTTTTGCAGTCCTAAAAATGGAGAACTAAGAAACCGGAAAAAAACGAAATTGCCCTTCTTAGCCCTTCTCCACATTCACACCCTTTTGATTAGGCATGTGTTGTTTGTATTTGTATAATTTGTCCCCACTTTTTAGTTCAAGATTTGACGGCGAAGCAAGACAAAAAGTTTTACAAGTTTTTTCACCATTTCCCGCTCTCTCTTTTGCATCTGTTTCCCCTTATCGTGATTGTATCAGGATAAAGATGATGATGATAAGAAAAACAGTGGTCTTGTGAGAAAAATCAAAATTAAAAGTTCTTGGGCTATGAAAATACACTAAAGTCCCAATATTTTCAATGATTTGACAAAAATGTCCTAAACTTTATTTTTTTTGACAATGAAGTCCTAATTCACGATTTGACAAGAAAGTCTTAAACTTTATTATTTTGACAAAAAAGTCATAATTACCGGCTAACCGGAAAAAAAGATAAAAGTGTCAAAAACTGTCGGTAGTTAGGACTTTACTGTCAAAAAAATAAAGTTTAGGACTTTCTTGTCAAATCGATGAAAATATTAGGACTTTAGTGTATATATCCATTATTTGAATATAGAAATAGCATGATAATTAAGAAGAATACTTTAGATTATTCATTTGATAACCTACTACTCTTATATACCATACATTACGGTACGTTTCATTGAGTAATTGAGTTTGGTACGGAGTTGCATGATATAACGGGGGGTACGGACTACGGATGGTGCACGTATTTATGATTGTTTGCATGTTCCTGTTTTTAGTCAACCTCCCACTACATGCCCACTTGCCCCTAATCTTTTGACAAGTAATAATATAATTTTATGAGTTCTACTTATTATTCATAAATAAAATTGTTATCATAACCCTTAAGGCAATCTAAAAAAAAGAACTGTAGTTTTGTTAGATTTGTGGTTTAATCTTATTGTGTACCTAAACTCTTTAAAATCAAAACAAAAAATCAACCAAATTAAAATGTAGTTGTAATCCGAAACTTTAGTATGCTTATATATGCCAATATGATACATTGGTCATGTACTAAATGTAACTTTAAAGCAAGTTGTACCTTGAAACTAGGATCTAATCACGAAATGATCAAAGGGATGACTAAAGTTGCCATTGTTTGAAAATGGCCGAGCCATTGGATCCTTGAAAAACTAAGAAATTTTTAGAAAATATGAAGCAAGAAGATGAGATGTAGAGGACTATTTACTATTTCCATATTATTTTGAATCACTTGAATTGGAGTTGCATCGTAGAAGTTACAAATAAAATGACAAGAGGTTGCAAAACTGCCTTCCTTGATAACAAGGAAGACGTGACCAAACAATCCAGATAACCATCATGAACAGCCAAAGGGAGCAACTGCCAGGTGATGGAAAATAATAATATCATAAAAGAATAAATTGTTTGGAAGAACTATATTTTAGTAGGTTTTTAATTATATAGACATATTCTTAAATTATTATTAGGTGCAAATTCTTACTTCTATTATGAAACAAAAACTTGATAATTTATTTTTATTTTTTTTTATTATAAACACATCATAATTCATAAATATTTGAATATTCATTTTAGAGAAATTTAAATAAAAATAAGGTAAACTATATATATTTGGTTTGTAATTTTTAGGTTTTTAAAAGAAAATATTAGCAAATTTTATTGATGAAAAATTGTACGATCAGATAAATGTAAATGCATGGAGACAAAGGGGGATAAATTTGATTTTGACCACAAGTCAAATGCTTAAGAATTAGCTTAATCTAATCCTAATGCATATGATTTTGACCAAAAGTCATAAAGCATTTTCTTTAAGCCCTAGTTCTTCAGGCTGACGTCATGCATGGCGTTTCCCAGCCACTCAACAACCCATGTGCCTTTTTTTTTTTTTAATTAACAATCGGTGGTATCCACATTTACTATACACCATGTACATACAAAATATTTCATTTAAATAATTTAAACACACTTCTTATTTTTTGGATCAGGATAACACTTTAACGTTTTATTCATTGAAGACCAGATATCTTATTTCAAAAAACAAGTAAAGATGAAAGATATGTTGAAAAAATTTGATAAAATGTTATTCAGTTATTACTAACTATACTTAAATGATTCTTTTGTTTTACTTACTACTATGCCATAATCATTTTAAAAAAACGTACGAGACACACCCATTGCAATAGGATTTGAGAAAATTCCACCTCAAAATCAATGACTTGGTAATTTGCTGCAAAAATCATTATATTTCCGTTTTCTAAAAGTGACAAAATATATAATCATTTGTTTTTAATAAGTTTTCAGATTAAGTAAATAATGTTATCATGGATTCATGGTATCCTCGATGTTCCTTTTCTATAATATGGCTTCCTAGTTATTTGA